AGGGTATCCACCCGTCTGATGCTAAGCTCAAAGCTATTCAGAAGGCTCCAAGCCCCAAGTCTAAGGGCGAATTGCAAGCCTTTTTGGGTTTACTGAACTTTTATCATGCTTTTCTACCTCATAAAGCTGCTATTGCTGAACCTTTGCACAGACTTCTTGACAAAAATGCTTGTTGGCGCTGGACCAAAGTCCATGAGGCTAGTTTCAATGAGGTTAAAGCCTTGCTTACATCCAATGCGATGTTGGCCCATTTCAATGAGCAGTTGCCAGTGTGTCTGGCTTGTGATGCCTCCCCCTATGGTGTGGGTGCTGTACTTAGCCATTTGACGGCTGATGGGACGCAAGTCCCTGTGGCTTATTATTCTAGGACTTTATCTGCTGCTGAGCAAAACTATGCTCAAATTGATAGGGAGGCTTTGGCTATTGTGGCTGGAATTAAAAAGTTCCATGATTTTATCTATGGCCGCCATTTTACGGTCTTTACTGACCACAAGCCTTTGCTGTGGTTATTCACTACATCCAAACAAACACCTCACATCCTGTCCCCGTGTATGCTGCGTTGGTCCATCTTCCTGTCAGCTTATGACTATTCACTGGTCCACAAGCCTGGCAAGGAAATGGGTCATGCTGATGCATTGAGTAGGCTGCCATTGCCTACTGTGGAGCCTGATCCCGCTCCTGCTGTACACATATTGTCCATTCAGGAGTTGCTGGAGTGTCCCCTCAATGCTAGGGATGTGGCTGCTGAAACTGCCACTGACCACACGCTCAAATGCGTGCTGTCATGGGTCCTGTCAGGTTGGCCTGACAGGTGCCCTGCGGAGGATTTTCAATGTTTTTGGGTCAAGAGGCACGAGTTGTCCACTTTCAATGGCTGCCTCCTCTGGGGATCGAGAGTTGTGATCCCGGCCTCCTTGAGGGCTAGAATCTTGATTTCATTACATGAGGGCCACCCTGTAATCGTCAGGATGAAGGCGCTTGCGCGCAGCCATCTGTGGTGGCCTGGCATTGATCGGGCCATCGAGGCCCAGGTACATGGGTGTCATGCATGCCAGCAGTCCAGGCCTGAAATGCCCCAGGCCCCTGTACACAGGTGGGAGGAAACACACACTCCATGGTCTAGAATACATATAGATTACGCTGGGCCCTTTCAGGGACAATTCTTCCTGGTTGTTGTTGATAGCCATTCCAAGTGGCTGGAGGTCATGCCTGTGTCTTCTACCACAGCTGCTAAGACTATTCAAGTGTTGAGAAACATTTTTGCTGCGTTTCAGGGATTTCTACAGGCCAACATGATCCGCCACGCTACTTCGGCTCCTTTCCATCCTTCCACCAACGGTTTGGCTGAATGGATGGTCCGCGTCGCCAAGGACGCCCTCAAGAAGCTGACTTACGGCAATTGGCATCACAGGTTGGCTGACTTTCTTCTAGCCCATCGTACTACTCCGTGCACTGCCACGGGTAAGTGCCCGGCCGAACTCCGTTGGGGTTGTCGGCTCGTGACTAAATTGGACAGGCTGCATCCGGAGCGTGTAGCTTCACAGGTGTCTCAGCCACACCCACCACGGGTCCTGCGTGAAGGTGATCCTGTCTGGGCCAGGAACTACGGGCCTGGACACCTCTGGGTCCCGGCTGTGGTCTGCAAAATCTCGGGGCCTCTGTCCTACGAGGTGTCCCTGGACGACGGCCGCGTTCTTCGCCGCCACATTGATCAACTACGTGTGAGGCGGGACTCGCCTGGGGTTCCTCCTCAGTCTCCTCTAGGGGGGGAGGAGGAATGGGGAATGCATTCTGGGAATCAGAATCAGCTGCCAACAACGGTTGTGGGGAACGACACGGGTACTCAACACCCAAGTTCCACAGGTGATTCAGGTAGCAATTCATGGGGAAGGGGGCACACAGACACCCCCACACACACTCCAGCCTGGGAGTCCCACCGGAGGTATACTAACTATCCACACCTCACAAACAATACTCCAGACACGGAGAATGACTGGGAGCATACTCACAACTGACAACATACAAGAGAGCAGGCAAAACAAAGGGGTAACATGTCCTTCACAGAAAGGGCTCATAGAAGGATGTCCCCACGCTTTAGGGCTAACAGGGAGGTATCCCTAGACCCTATCTCTACAGAAAGGAGCCAGGAAAACCACACTCCGTCAGGAAACGTGGAGATGAGTTCAGAGGGGTTGGAAAACTCCATTGGTGGTAGGTCAACCAGGTATAGCGATCAGCAGAGTCCTGACTTCTCGAGCCTAGGGGATGGGCAGGAAAGTCAAACAGAAGTCACGAGACAACCACAGGTTAATTCACCTAGTGTGGGAAACAACGGGGAAAACACTACAAGCTCCCCAGGTCCGAGAAGGTCGCTAAGGGTCAAAGGCCCTCCCAAATACCTTGCAGATTATGTAAGGTAAACATGTATATATTAATAACTTGAATTAGAGGTCCAGGCTGGTTGACTCTATGGAAACGATGTTGGGGCCATCGGGTCTCTGTACGACGGAACAGCCCCACACCTTACACACACAATGTGATATTAATACAACAGTATTTATACAAATCATTGTTATGATGGCGTCCATGTTAGGCGCAGTATCATTTCATCTAGGGGGGAGGGGTGTTGTGTCCTGAGCCTGCAAAAGCAGGCTCAGGACGTTGCAAGAGTCCCGGGCATTTGCAAAAGCTGCCCGGGACCAGACTGAGTGGCGCCAGCCTTGCGCACATGCGCAAGGCGGGAAAAGACCGCCTTGTGATTGGTTGGAATTGCCCGGGGATCAGAAGGTATAAATAGAGGCCTGCGTGCCTCTGCTCGGGTTGTTCGAAGATTGGAAGCAGAGAATAAAGACTTGTTAGAAATGCTTCGTCTCAAGCGCCATTATTCTCCGGACTTAACACTTATCCTCTTATAGTTCTTGCCTTGCTATTCAAGGGAATCAAAAGAAACATGTACTAGTATTCATACCATAGAGAATTCTGCCCATTTCATATTCCCCAAATCATATTAATTCCAGATAATTTTCTTCAAGAAATTATTCCAATTATCACAATAAATTCTGTTCAAATGATACTTAATCAATGTTTTTCCAATAAAATCAGGTTATATAGTTTGATATAGTCATAAATGCATAGATGATGTCAAAAGAAGTACAGATTAGGAAATCTAAAAAGATTGTTCTTTAAATTTTTATTCAATATTAAATAATATTAAATAAAATGGTAAATATAAACTAAGTCTTCCTAATGAATCATAATTCTGAGGCTGCTTATCTTAAGCAAATACAACATTACACAGTATGTTTTACTGGGGAAGAAGTGGATGAAAGCTATTAACTTAAGCATATTATTTATCATTTAATTTAGATCTGATAACATTTTAATATTCATTAAAAGATGGTATCTTAAACAATAAACATCTTTAACACTGTAAGCAGAATGGGAGAAAGGGATGAAATGCTTTAAGAAAGGGAAATATAGAAACAGAACTGCTAAACAATAGTTATTAGAATAGTGGCATGTGTGTTTATCAATTCTAAATTAACATCATTGCAATCCTATGAAAAACCAGCAGTTCCTTTATCATAAGACACTTACAGAGAAAGAGAAAATAAGCTAAGCTGTTTTGCCCCATTTTACCACCTTTCTTGCCACAATTGTTAAATATATCACTGCAATTGTTAAGTTAGTAACATGGCTGATAAGTGAATCTGGCTTCCCCATTGACTTTGCTTGTCAGAAGATCACAAAAGATAAGTACATAACCTTGGGATATTGCAGCTATCATAAATATGAACCAGTTGCCAAGCATCCAAATTTTGCTCATGTGGCAATGGTCATAGATCACTTTTTCATACTGCAAAGTGTGAAAAATGGTCATAGTTCACCTTTTTTCAGGACCATTGTAACTTCGAATGGTCACAAAATGAATTGTAAGTTGAGGACTACCTGTACCTATTTATTCCTGCTATGTAGATTTTAAAATCTATTTTACAGTTTTCTTTCATCTCTCTGAGCAATATGTATTTAAATCCTTGCAAAATATACAGTATTAATGCAACTAATACTGTAACTAGCATCTTAGTTGATGTAGACCTGAAATTAAAATGATTCTAAGCATAGCTACTAATATGTGAATTATATTTAGTTATTGTCTTCATTCCCAAACAACATGAAATTAAATAATTGCCAAAGTTTTTAAATATACACTAATTGCATTGTTTTCCGTCATCCATCCTTATCTTTATTTGTTTCAGGGGTTTTAGATACTTTTGTTAACAAAGCTCACTGAAGGTAACTAAACATGAGAAGAAAGCTAGACTTGTCTGACCTGACTGATAATGAAGCTGAACATGTTCTTCAAGTGGTCCAACGAGATTTTACCCTCCGCAAAAAAGAAGAAGATCGACTGAAGTAAGTATTAAGACAAATATATTATTTGGAAATCAGAAAACTATTTATTTGTTGTTATGCATCCCCTTTTTTATACTCTGAACATACTACATTACAAATTAAATTATTTTAGACACTTACAAAAACAACCTGGTAAAATGCAGATTCTAAGGTTTATAAATTGGCATCAAAGAAACAAGCTGACTCTTATTTCTGCATATATATTTTGTTTTCACTCACAGAAACATATCTTAACAATTCACATTATCAAGAGTTTTAAAAAGGGCTGATCATTCAGGCCAGATAAGAAAGTTGCAGCTAGCATTGGTATGATTTCTTATGCCTCTTTGTTCTTGGAATGTGACACACACAGTAATAATTTTTAGAGACCAGAAGCAATGTACCCTGCCCTCCCTAAGGTACTCCTTAAATTATTTGGATGTTTTACTCACTACATTATATCTAAGAGTTTTCTCTCTCTCCGTCTCTTTCTCTTTCCCTCTGCTTAGGGACAAAATATAGCAAATAAACAAATGTCCTTAGAGATGTACATTCATCAGTAGTTGGGGATAGGTTGCACAGTAATTCCTCTTTAAGTATACACTTAGTAGCAACATTATGTAGATTTCTGTATGTTTGATCCAGTCCTAGTATATGCTGCACCCAAGTGGTCTCTTTTTCACAACAGCCAATAATTTTCATGATTTCTCAACATTGCTCAGATTGGCACTGAATTGAATTTAATTGAAAATTAAATAATATTTATCTAGTCAGAATTGTTGTAAGGTTCAGAAGCATAACTCCCTTCTAATACAAAAGCATTGTTGTTATACCTTTTCAGTTTAAAATGCAATTTTTTGTCATATGACTGTTAATATGCTATGTTATGCAATTATGTTGCATAATGAAAATATGTGCAGTACTGTCTTTTTTTTTCAATAAATTGTAGGGCCAAAGGTGGATGACATGAGGATAATTGCTGAGTTCAAATAAGTTAATATCACTAATAATATAAGTTGCACTTATATTGCTACATAATATTTTTCCACACTTCAACACAAAACTAGGAGCATTTTTATTTTTTTATTTAAGTACTTTGTTGGAAAAGAATGAGAATATAACTGTAGACTCATTCTGATATCCAAACTATTCACAAATGGGTAGATTAAAAAGGCTTAAAAAATAAAGGCTTAAAAAGGCTAGAAAAAAATAAGTTTGGTTTTGCAATTCCACTTCTTTCTAAAGCAACAAGCTTGTTTTATACTGCTTTGGTAAGAGCATACTTAAGAATATTGGAGCCATTTTTGTCACCATGATATAAAAAAGATGTTGAGGCTCTAAAAAAAGAGTGCAGAGAAGAGCAACAAAAATGATTAGGGGACTGCAGGAAGAAAGATATGAACAACGTTGCAAGAACTGGGTATGTCTAATCCAGGGGTAGGCAACCTCGGCTCTTTCATGACTCATGGACTTCAACTCCCAGAATTCCTGAGTCAGTTATGCTGACTCAGGAATTCTGGGAATTGAAGTCCATGAGTCATAAAAGAGCCGAGGTTGCCTAGCCCTGGTTTAATCTAATGAAGAGAATAACTGGGAGTAAAAATGATAGCAATCTTCCAATATCTAAAGGGCTGTCACAAAAAAGAGGACAACCTAATCTCCAAAGCACCTGAGGACAGGACAAAAAACAATAGATGGAAACTTATCAAGAGATCCAAGCTAGAACTAAAGAGAAATTTCCTGATGGTAAAAACAATTATGCCATGGAACAGCTTATCTCTGGAAGTTATGGGTGCTCCATCACTGGAAGATTTGAAGAAGAGATGAGACGACTATTTGTCTGCAACGGTATAGGATTTCTTGCCTAAGCAGGGGGTTGGGCTTCCAAGGTCCCTTCCAATTCTATTATTCTGTTAGATTGTTTCCTAGGCAGCATCTCTTTCCCTTGTCCTCAAGGTCATTTCTGTTCCAGTTGAGTTGACAGTGAAACTGTCCTACTTAAATGGGTCCAGTTAAATCTGATCATTAAATTTTATTATATCAGGGATAATTTCTCTATAGTAACCATATTTATGTATCTTACTCTTTCTGAAACAAATTTTACTTATTATTGTCAATATCTAGATACAGTTTGTACTAAATTATTATTAAATGTTTAATATTCTCAAAACCTATATAGTTTAACAATTCCCCTCCTGCAGATAAACAATATTGTACCAGTCTGTCTGAAAGTACCATAAATAGATAGTGCTAATTTTAAAAATAGCTTGACAAGTGACAAACTGTCTGTTAGTATTTGTTGTTTCTCTAAAATGTCCCTGAGGATTTTTAAAAATAAAGATACATACATACATTCTATATTACAAACAAAACTTAAAATACAATTGATAATTTATGTCTTCCAATGTCTAGCTTTTGACTGACTAGGTATACATTTAATAAATAGCTTTATGGAGGCACTGAATGTTTTCCTGAACAAAAGTTCACAAAAGTTCATGAATGATAGAGTTTGTGGCAAATAGAAAATCTTTTAATAGCTATAAGTGTTCTTAATTTATAGTTTTAGTAACTTGATTTAGTAACAATTTAGTTACAGAAAACTATTTGTAAAGTTACTTGGCCACTGAACATTAATTGAAATCAACTTCAAAATTATTTACTTTTAATCTTATATTCTATGACAAAAATGTGAGATATAGTATTACTGTTTTATAGGCTTTCATGTAAGAGACTACTAGATGGATCTCTGCTGCAGTTGTTTTCACATTTAAGAAAGTGAAGAAACATGTTTATGTAACAGTGGACATGTTTGTGATAGTTTTGGTTTCACAGCCTTTGCCCCCTTTTTGACTGTTAGCAGTAGCCAAGCACCAATAGGGGATCAGCCCCAGAACTGTTTTGCCTTATCTCCCATGCATTTTTGGGTCCAGGCCCAAATCCTGATTATCTCTTATTTAAATATTTTCTTTGAATTTAAAGAATTTCTTATAAAAGTGCAGCCTTTTTCTTTTTTGAAGATAAACCAGGTTTAAAATACATTGATTTCAGCCCTATTCTCCAGAATGTGTACTTAAAAAGAATACCAGTTTGGTTTAGTGGCTAAGGCACCAGGCTAAAAACTGTCCAGTGTTACAGAAACTGTGAGTTCTTGTCCCACCTTTAGCATGAAAGCTGGCTGGTGACTGTGGGCCAATCACTCTTTCTCAGGCAACCCATCTCATAAGGTTGCTATTGTGGGAAAAGTAGGTAGAGGAAGGAGTATTATGCATGTTCACCACGTTTACTAATTTTTACTACTAATAAAGGTGGGATAAAAATAAATATTTAAAAAAATATTTCAGCTGATGAAGGTGTTCAGTTTTATGCTTGTCTTATTTGGCACATAATCGATCAGTGTTCTAATATTTTTTTCTGCCTTGCAACTATGAAAGAAACATAACTGTTTCATCGTTTCTAAAGCTTGGTAACTGGGACAAAAAGTATATAAACTGTTTATATAATTTTATAATAAGCAGCAGATTGACCTCTTAGAATTGTTCCATCTTCTTCCCTCTAACAGTTCTCTATAGCCTTTCTTTTTATAGACTTATCTGGGATTGGTGCTAAAACTGTTTTCTCCTTCATCTGCAAATTAAGTCATTGGTAAGGTAAAGGCAAGTCCTGTTGGAAATGAATGGAGCAAATAATCTGCTGTAGTAAATTTTTATCAGACTGCTGCAGATAAAAGAGTATAAAATAGAATACATGTAATTTTCTAGTAATTGGGATCAGGACTACAGTAATTAAGTGATGCAGTCATAAAGTGCAATTTCACATGACTACATCACTTAGTGACAATTTTGGTCATTGCAGCTGTTTTTTAAAGTTGTAAATTAAAATAGCTTGGCGAGACATGGGGTGTTAAACAGGAAGTTGCAGCAGTCCCAGATAAGAAGTGTAGGGGTGGGGGAGGCTGGGGGAAGCCCTGAGTGGGCTGGCAGAAGCTGCATGCTGAGGGCCAGCAGAGGCTGCTTGGAAGTAGATGCTGCAGGTTGGAGAAAAAGTGGCAGGAGCAACTTAGAGATCTTCCCTGTTCAATTAATTGATTGAGAAGAAGAAGAAATCAAAACAGAAATAGACAAAGCATGTAGAATAAATTCCTGATATGCCAGCATGAGAAAAATACTAAGAGTTTTAGATTGTCACTTCAAATCTAAACTGAAAATTGATAATGTGGATATAATTGTCCTGAAGGAAATCCCTGTCATACTTTTGAAAAAGACAAAAGCTTATATCTTCTTAATGGACTTTCTGAAGGAAATAAAAATCCCATTCTGCTGGGACAAACTTGAAGGAGTGATATTTACCTATCAAGAACAAAGATATAGATTGAATTTCATAGAAAAAGCCAAGGATTTCTTGAAGGAACATAACTAATTTTGAACCCAATACAAGAAATGAATATGGATAAGCAATTGGATATGGACTAGCCTCAAACATTGGACATAGAAAAATAGGAAGCGGCTGAAAGGATGATTGAATAAGATTTTGCTACATTGTTCAAAGATGGAGAATATTGTACATGCATAACATGGAATAGGAAAGGGGAAAATGTCCGTTCCAAGCAGAAAAAAAATATTTTACTATGTGAGGAAACTAAATATTGATACCATTTGTCTTTAGGAAGCACATTATTAAAATACAAGACAAGAGGTATCTAATAAACAAAACATTAGGTGAGGAATTCATCTCAGTTGATGTAAAAAATGGAGTCATCTTGTACAATATAAACATAAGCTAAATGATGATAATTTTTTTTAATATCTTATGAATCAATTAGTACTCTTTTCTATGAAAACTGGTGTATTTTGGATGATTGGAATGAAGTGACCTCCCCAATCCCTGATAGAATATCTACCAAAGAGATCAAATCCTCTTGAGGATAAATTATCAAAGATTTTCTTCAAGATGATGGACAATTTTGTATTAGAGTTATGGAGGCAAAAATGGATTTGCCAGAAAATATATTTTCTTTTCAGAAT